CTTTATTATCACAAAATCAACAAATTGTCAAAAATAATAATAAATAAAATAAAAATTAATAATAATAATGAAATTTTGAGTAGAGACTTGATAACATGACCACCTTGAGTTGAAGAATTCCACAGTGATAATATAAACTATAAAATAATAAAAAAAATACATATTAATAATCACTTTTTTTAATTTTGTATACTAAGTATGATTTTGCTCTTTTAGATGAATATAGATGCAATATCTTAGATGGATTCATCAGCTTATCATGATGAAGCAGTCAGATGCATGATAAAATTTTCTTTCAGGCTATACAACTTTAATTTTTTAGTTTATATTACTCAGCTAGGTTACTTTTTTAAATTTTAACAAAAAAAATTTATATATAAAAGTTTATTATATATAATTTTATTGGTAAATTAAAGCTTTATTGTATTATTATTATATATAATTTTTTACAGCTTCAAAATGAATATATTGTGAAATTTTTTCTCCAACTTATATTTTTGATAAGTTTAAACTTCATTTCAAAATCTGCTTCTAATCAGTCAAATGATAAATATAGAATCAATATATTTTTAAAATATTTTTATATTTTAATAGGTATAGAGGTTGGAACTGGCTAAAAATTCTTTAACTAGTTAATAACTGGTTAAAATATTTATTAAACAGTTAATTAACTGGTTAAAATTAACTTTAGCCTGTATTATAAATTTGGTTAAAATTAAAACAATATTTTATCAATCATAAAAATTTTAATTTTAGTTAAAAATTAAATTTTGGTCAGATTTAAATTTATCTATTTTAATCAGTTAAAAAAATCTTTAATCAGTTGACATGTTAACCATTTTAACTGGTTAATTAACTAGTTAAAATTAACTAGTTCTAACCTTTAAATAGGTAAACCTTTCTCATCCTTCAAAATTTTAGAATTATAACTTATTTTACATGTATAATAGACATTTTAATAGAGTTAAAATAAATTTGAAATGAATTGTTATTATCATATAATTAGGCTGGCAAAGAAAATTTTTAAATTTTTAAATAAAATTTTAAATTTGATCAGGAGGTTTTCTTTTTATATCACAAATAAAGATAATCTATGTAAATCAGCTTTCTTTTAAACAAATGCTAATTTTATTATAAAAAAATCGTAAACTGATACGGTCAGGTCACAGAATCTAAAAATTTACTTTATATATCTTGTCTTCTTAAAGATTAACCAATCAGATGGTATAATATTTATATATAAACTTTTTATTAATGAAACTAGATTTTTATTCATGACCAGCCAGCAGTCGACCTTAATTTTTAATATTTAAAAGTAATATATATATTTATTTAATATTATAAGTATCTTTATTAAATTTACTAGAATATGTATTATATATGTATATATTATGATATTTTATTAAATTGAAAGTGGCTGTGATGCTTTTTATTTTAGACGAGAATATTCTTTAATTACATTTAGATCTACTATAAATAAATTTTTATTAAATTTATTATTTGAACAAGTTGCTATTTTAAACATTTGCTGATTGTTGTATATACTTGATCAGATGTAAATAATTAGCTAAGATCTATTGAAATGGAATGTAAGGTAAGACCCTGTGTTTTATAAACTGTTAACAAAAATAAGTTTTATAATAAAATTATATTCTAGATGTATGTAAACCTCTAAATAAAAGTAGAATATTTCTCTTGTAATTCATCTTTGAATAATTGTACTATGTATATAAAATGCTATTTGTATACTTAGTTGTTATTTATTTATATCAGTGATTATACTGATAGTTCTATTGCATATATCTTCTTTTATTAATAAATTATTTAGATATATAACTTGTGTACCTTATTGAAGTCTAACTGTTGGTGGCATATTTGTTTTTATTTCAAATTTTATTTGAATAAGTTCTGGTGATACTTGTTTACCTTCTATAAAATCTTTAGCTTTAGTTAATAAATATTTTTCATTATTAATTGGAATTATGTTGCAAATTGTGTTATTAATTTATTTTAATATTTCACAATATCCAACAATATATGTTGTTATTAATAATGAATCTGAAGATTGATTATTATTATAATTTGTAGCTTCTCTATAGTTTTGTCTAGGTTGCATTTAATATTTTTCTAAATCTAATTTCTTTTAACATTTTATAAAATTTATTATCTTCATTATATCTTTGAGATTTATACAAAAATAAAGAATGAAATAATTGCCATACTGATGAATAAAATACAGCTTTACTACTTACTGGTAAAAATTGTATCAAATCACCTGCAACTTTTACACAGATACCTTCAAATACTATATTAAAATTGTGAATTCTAGCAAATAAATCAAAAATTAAATTAAATAATAAAGCAGAAACTATTGGTATTTCATCTATAATTAATACTTGAATTTTCTGTAAATTTATTTTTAAATTCAAGATTATAAAAAGCTAATAATTGATAGCCTAATTCTGTTTGTACTATTCTAAGTATAGAATGAATAGTAAATCCTTCAACATTTTGTGCAGCTATCCCTGTTGATGCTATTAAAGGATAAGTTTTTCTTTCTATTTTTATGCAAACAATAATTAATTTTGTTAAATATGATTTTTCAGTTCCACTGGATTCTGTAATAAAGAAAATAGATATTTTTAGATTGTGATATAGTCTAAGAGTAGATATATTGTATTATATACAATGTATTATTCTTCTGGTAGATTTAACATTACATTTGACAAAAATGTTGATGATATTAATTTTAAATTATCTAATTATTTGATAAGAATTTTGATATTTGTAGAGTGATTTTACTTTCAAAATTTTTTAATATATTAGTTATGATTGTGTTAAATTGATTTTGTAAGAATATCTATTTTCTCCTACTATTATATTTATTGAATTTTGAATTGAATTCTGAAAATCTGAATATAATTAAAATATTTTTCTTGATAAGATGTAAAATTATCAAGTAATTCATCTTCTGATCTACAAAGTATTATAAGAAGTAATTGTTGATAAAAATATAGTTCTCTATTCTGAATTTTAAGTTGTCTATAATGTATAATTTATGGAGATGTTCTCTTAACAATACAATAGTTTAAATCTTCTTTGTAAATTTCATTATTTAAAGGTTTTTTGATTGATAATATATAATTTTTAAAATAATTAGAATAAGTTATATTATCAAATAGTTTATCATGTGAATGTGCAAAGTATTTTTCAATTGTGTCTTTCCAATATGGATCATTATTATCTTCTAATATTATTGATATTGGTCTTATTATACGTGAACGAGTTATTAGTAGTTCAGTAGGTTGGTATTTTACTTTTACTAATGATTTGCATATTGTTTTACTAAGTAATAAAAATATACACACCATTGAGCTTAATTATTGAGCAATTATATGCTCGTAATACTTATTATTTTCTGATATATTAAATATATATGAAGATTCTGATTTGACAACATATTTGATTAAATATTTACCAAGATTTTTAGTACTCACATATTGTATATTCATATGAGCATTTTATAATAAAAGTGTAGGTGAATGGTAAGGAACTACCTATTAATCCTTTTCAGTTATACATTGATATATATATCTAAATTCTTTAGTATTATAATACGTATTTGAAGAATATGGTAGAGAAAAGTTTTTTTTATATGTTTGATCTGGAGATGTCAGTCTGCCACACTTTTTAGAATTATATGTATGAATTTAATATGTTAATACTAATTGCTAAAGTTCTGATTCAAAGTTTTGACCTGATAAATCAGATCTAATTAGATTTTCTGATATTATTTCTGTTATACTTTTTTTAACCCAAAGTATTGAATGAGTATGTGATGCTTCTCTATTTTGAAATTCTACATATTCAAAAAATGATTAAGATGATTCCAATTGCTATTTACAGGATTTTTACAAATATGATTCCAAATTTCTTTTTTGCAATGTATAAAATGTAGAGTTATATCTAATGGTCTATTTGTCAGTATTGTATTTTTATTATTTGTTGATTTTAATATTTTTATTAAATAAGTCTATTTAGATTCTGCTGCTATTAAGGTTATAAAAAGTGATGGTAATTTATATTCTTTTATTATAGCATTTACATGTAAAAGTTTTTTATTAAAATATGTATCTTCTATTCGTATAAATAATAATAATATAGTTATTTTTATTTTATCAATCATATATTTTTCTGAATATATACTATATAAAATAAGTTCAAAAGCTATTGATAGATAATATATTTTATCTGATTCTTTTTGACTCTAAAGATGCATTATATTTTGATAATTTTGTAGCTTTTCTAATCTTAAGTATGAGTAGTATGATCAAGTAAGAATGTAAATAAAATCTTGAATTAATACTTAATAGATGATATTTTATATATTTTCTGTATGTTTCTATTTTTATTGAATCATCTTCAGAAGTGATTACATTTTGATCAGAAAAGTGACCATTTTCATCATGAAATAGATTTGAAAATAATAATAGTTTAAGATTTGGATTATCAAAAGAAAGTAGTAATATTGTTGTTGATGTTTATACAAAACCAGCTATTAGATAAGTGTAATAAAATTTTCATTATGTATTTCTGTTGGAAAATTTTTTGATGATAAAATAATATCTCCTTCTTAAAAAGATGGAATATTTGTATTAGAAGATAAATGAGCTGTTGTAGGAAATAGATTCAAATATGTTTCTATAAGAAAGGATGATGTTAAAAGTAATCTAGTAAAAGATTTTAAATATCTATTATATTGTTTAAGCCAATTTGCGGTAGCATATAATTCTGGAGTAAGTCACGAGAAATTTTCATTGTTATTATAATTTTTTGGATTAATTAAAAATGCTTTTAATATTCCAGAGTATAATTTTAATACATGTATATTTTTTGAAAATTCTATATTTCCTACTAAAGTATGATATTCTGTATCTTTATTTGCATTTAGATTTTTATCAAGAGAATAGTATAAGAATACTGGAAAAAGAAATTGTCTTTGAGTAATTAGTATAGCTTCAATTATTTTAGGTATAGAATAAAGTTATAGGCATAGATAAATCTTTTTATTATTTTTACAACTTTTACATATATATACAATACATGATGAATCATTATCTTTTATATATACATTAATATGGTAAAAGTTTATTTTAAGTGGGTATATATAGTTTTTATTATATAGAATCTATTTAGCTTTAGTAGAATATAGTAATTTTGTATAATATGTATAAGGTAAGCAAATGTGTTAATATAAAATTGTATTTTAAAAGTATATGTAAAGTTTACGTAAATGTTGAGATAGTTTTTATAAGGTAATAAATTAATATTTAAGTTTGATAATTTTTGGTTAATTTGTGAAAAATGTAAATTAGAATTTGATATTACATTTGAATTATATAAACTTTCATTATTATAAGAATTAACTTGAAAGTTATTAGTAGAATTTTATGAGAAATATAAAGATTCTTGTGAATAATATTCAAAAAATAAAATCTATAGATTTTTAGTTTATTTTTTAATAATCAGAAATAATCAGAATAATTTTTATATTTGTAAAAGTTTATTAATTAATGTTATTTATAATATTTTAAAATTATTACATATTTAAGGCTTTTTTATATTAAATTTTATTTAAATATATTTAACTTAATTTAGTTAGATTTTTTTTAATTTGATATGATTAATAATATTTAATTAATAATAATAAAAGATAAAAGATTAATAATCATTAATAATCGATCAATAAATAGATACAATATTTAAAAATATCAGTATTTTTATAAATATAATAGTTGTTATAAATATTATTACTAATAATAGATAACATAAATTTATTTTAAACTAAATAAAACATTTAATTTATTATTTTATACTATCTATTTGATTTTCTTTTCTTTGATTTTCTTTTTGCACTTAAACTTTTTGCTAATATATTATCATCATTATTATTGATTTTATCTTCATTATTATTATATATCATCTTCAATATTTTCTTCATTATTATCAAAAATTTCATTATTATTATTAATTTTTATTTTATTTATTATTATTTTTGACAATTTGTTGATTTTGTGATAATAAAGATTTTGAGATATTCAAAATTTTTGTTGTGAATGCTTTATGTTTATTTTTAGGATTTAGTACTGATGAATTAGTTACTATTAGTGATTGAGTAGTCATATTTTGTTGTATAAGATTAATTCTTTTTTCAATAGCAGATTTGGATGAAGAAAAACTTATTGTTGTTTGAGAATCTGTTTTTTTCATAGAACTGTCATAGAATTATCTGTTTCTATTTTCGTAGCTATAAATTGAAATTCTAATATTTCATAATATAGTTGTTTTTCTATAATAAAAAGTATCTTTATTGCATGAATTATAGAATTTTCTTTGCTTTTGTTAAGGCATTTTTAAACCTTCTATCTGAAAGATGAGTTAAATTTACCAAAAATGATGTAAATTGTTCTTTTGATAAATATAGTTTACTTGAATCTGTAAATTGTAACCAGTTTCTTATAATTGTGTATAATTTATAGTTTTCTCAAGAAGATGCATAGTTAGTTTCATTATAGGAATACATTCTTTATCAAGAGGAATATGCATACTTATTATAATGGTAATATTAATTGAACCATCTTATATGATTAAAAAATTTTCTGATATTAAGTACATATTTTTTTCTTTAAATGATGTTACTTCAAAACTATAATTCAAGTCAGAATCAGAATTATTTTACGAGGTTAAATAATTATAATATTTGTATATTTGAAATCCTTTATCATTATCAATTCAAGAGATTACTATACCTTTTGGTAAGGTACCATTACTGATACTTTCATCAAATACGGCAAGAATATATATAATAGTAGAGATATTTACAATCATTTTTTTTATTTATTATAAAAAAAAATGAAAATGAAAAATTTATGAATCAACAATAACTTGTTTTATATGTTTTATTTTATTATTAAATTATAAAAATTTTATTAGATTTTGATCAGTTGGCTAAGAACTGAATAGAATTGTCAAAACAGAACTGATCAGCTCATCACTGTGACAAAGATAAGTCATCAATATTTTTTTCATTTTTTTTTTTTTTCTCTATGTATTATTAATTATTATTTTTTTTAATAATTTAATATTTATTTTTTCCTTTATTTTAGGTTTCAATCGGTGTCTCTGTTTAGGCTAAGAACTGAATGGAACCTTTAAGCAAAACTGACTGGCTTGTCATTATGGTGAAGATAAGCCGATGATTTTTAATTTTTTTTTTTTCTCTGTGTTATTATTAATTATTATTTTTTTTTAATAATTTAATGTTATTTTCTTAATTTTTAGGAGAACTGTTAAAATGGAATTTTTTTGACTGACTCATCACTGCGATGAAGGTAAGCTGATGATTTTTTATTTTTTTCCTTTTTTTTATTTAATAATCATTTTATTTATTTGTGTTTTTTATCTAGTTAGGTTCGATCAGTTCCTTCACTTTTTGCTAAGAATTGGATGGAACCTTTGAACAGAACTGACTGGTTTGTCATTATGACGAAGGTAAGCTGACTAATATATATTTTTTTTCTTATTTTGGTAATTATCTTGCCTTTTTTTTAGGTTCGAT